CTATATTTTTAACTTAATTGATTCTTTGAGTCGTCTTGAAATATAAAAAAAAATACATTCAAAATATGTAATTTTACAATGAGTTTTGTGATAACAACTCCCTGGTGAAACCCACCCTGGAAGATAAGCCACTCACAATTTAGATATAACAATATTACTTTAATTAAATGCAATTTGAATTCGTGTTTATTGTTTTAAAGAACCAGTGTATATATTTTACCAGCAATAATTTAAATTTACCTCTCCTTTTTAGTGGAGTTATTTCTTCATCCACTAAAAATATCACAAAAATGCTGTTTAAACTAAGTGTTTTTCCAGTGTAATATACAATGCTTAAATAGGAATTACAGTATATTAATTGATGGTTTTTTAACTTTTAATTTCTAGGTGAATAGTACCGATTTTCCTGGAAGTTATCCAGGAATTGATGATTCATGGAGCTTACAGAAGTTTACCAAGGCAAGTCCAATTTAAAAATAATATGTTTTGTTTTTTTTTTTTTTTTTTGTAGTATAGAGGATATATCCTTAAGCCTGTATATAATTCTCTATTATTTCAATTATTGCTAGTAAATTTTTAATTTTTATTATATATATATATATATATATATTGATTTTTTATTTTAATTTATATTAATGTAATTTCATCATTTCGTATTTTTTTCGTACTATTTCTAATTTAAATTTACTTTATTTGCCTTTTGCTTTGTCATTTATTCAGACACAACATAGGCCTCTGTATGTTTTCTTTATTAATTAACTTTATATATTTATTATATAAAAACCAAACCACCACCCGAAAGCTTACCTCAGTAAAAACACTCATCTACAGTTGTAACCTATAAGATATATGGCGCCCTCTATGACTTCCTAATATTATCTTTGTTGCCAATGAAACAATAATGGTAATGATAATTGTGTTTGCCTTTATAGAAATTCCGTATAGATGTCATTGACCTAACAGAAGACAAGATGGAGTTTGATATGGTAGGAGTGGATGCAGCAATCGCAAATGCATTCCGCCGAATATTACTAGCAGAGGTAACAAGTTTTGTATAACTAATCAGCCATTTCATTTGAAAATAGAAAGGCTGTTGTCACTATAACAACTGCCTGTATTTACCAATGTCCTTCTTCATGTTGTCATTGGTGATGGCAGTAGATTCGTTGCCATCACCATGCTACAGCACAATTCCAACTTAAAACAATTCTGCTCTTGCTCAGTCATTAGACTTGTGAATAGTCTTCCAATTATTATTATACGGTAGTTTCCTGTAATCAATATTGTTTATTTTTTCCACTTTTTCTAGGTACCAACAATGGCTATAGAAAAGGTTTTCATATATAATAATACATCTCTCATACAAGATGAGGTGATGGCGCATCGACTTGGTCTCATACCAATCAAAGCAGATCCAAGACTATTTGAATATCAACAAGAAGGTATAACTGAATATCTCTTTACTTTTATGTTATGTTATATTTGTAAACATCCAACACCATGGTATGTTTTCTTATCCAATTTCTCATAATAGATGTTTGGGAAAGCAGACTTGTTTTTAATCGTGAGATAAAATCTTGGAATTCTTAGAATTCAGTCCCTGCATACCCCTCTTGGTTGTTCTCTATACAACTTGGTGTATATCCCTAACACTACACTATGAAAAAGATCAGAGGACTGTCCCCCATTGTACTGACCACTTCACATCTAGGGACTGACTTGCATTGCAGCTTGAGGTGGGGGTGGGCTCTAAATTTTCTAGTTGTTCAATTTAATATTACTTTAAAGCTGTTCATATCAGTTGTGATAAATACTGAAACCTTAATTGCTTCGTGTAAATTTTCATCCTAACAGTAGTGTAAATATTTACCAAAGTAATATTTTTAACCAACTTTGTCAAGGTTTTGTTGAAGTACGTCACAAATTAATATGCAAATGATCTTCATTGATAGGTGATGATCAAGGCACCCCCGAAGATACAATTGAATTCCATCTGAAGATTAAAAGCACACGGAACCCAAATGCACCTAAAGATGCCACAGACCCAGAAGAGCTCTACAGAAATTGTAAAGGTAAGGTTTTTGTATAAGTTGATGTACACCATATCAGCAACAACAAAATGCATATTTCTGATTTTAGAACTGATTAATCAATTATAAACTAAGCACAATTTGATGTAAGCTTACTGCAAGCTTTTGTCGATGTTATCAACCTGACTTTGTCAGGCTATGTAAGGTAGCATCTATAACTATGGTATTTCCAGTCGAACGATAGTTTAGTGAAACCTCCCACGAATCGATCTATGTTTTATTTCATTTAGATAAATAAATTGTGTATCTAAGTTAATTTGTATTATATATTATAATTTATTGTAGTGCTGTCAAAGCATTTGAAATGGATTCCAAGAGGAAACCAAGCGGAATTGGTGAGTAGATTATTAGGTCTCCTGCACATAATTAGCATTTATAATTAACATTCATAATTAGCATTCATAATTAACATTCATAATTAGCATTTATAATTAGCATTTATAATTAGCATTCATAATTAGCATTCTTAATTAGCATTCATAATTAGCATTCATAATTAACTTTCATAATTAACATTCATAATTAGCATTCATAATTACCAAGTGTATATTTTACTGGCTAAAACTCAAATTTGCCTGTTATCAAGGTTAAGGTTAAAGTGCGCCCTCACTAATCATCACAAAATGATTTAAAGAATAGGCACCATATAAGAAAATGAGGCACTATTTAAGAAAAAATAACCAGTTACGACCATGTACCTAAAATGCAGGGCCCCAATGGAAATCAGTTTTTTAAACTGTTTGGGCTACCCTGGGTATATAAATGTAATAATAATACTACCGACTAAATGAAAGCTGCCTTATAATTATAGATAATAACAAATAATGAATATTAACATGAATATATTTTAATTCTCACTATCACTGTCTCTCTGCCAGTATGGCCCAAATGCATTTAAACCAGTTGATGATGCTATCTTGATAGCAAAGCTAAGACCAGGCCAAGAGATAGATATCAAGATGCACTGTGTGAAAGGCATTGGTAAAGACCACGCAAAGTTCTCACCAGTTGGTAAGTACACACTGTTGACGCTTTTCATTTTCTGACATTGTGCATCTCATTGATTTTGAGAATATACTCAACTTTTGTGTAGTAGGTTTGCCTTTTTGTACAGAAGTAATTCCTTGCCGAGTCACAGGGCTCATATGGGCTGAGCTTATCTCCAGTTTCAAGTAGCGTGAAGTGAATGAGAACATGATGCTTCCCCTGCGTGGGACGCTGGTCCACCGCAGGTTACTCCCAGCAATTTGCTGTTACCCACTGATACAGCTGGTAGCCTGAAGCAGTGTTAGGTGTGCAGAGAGCTAATATTTTTCTATTAATATTCCTTCTAATATCTAGTGAAACATCTTCCCTGTTTTCTCTACTAATTAGCTTATTCTTACACATTATTTTTAAAAATCGTGTGACCAAGGATTTTCAACTGGTACTCAATCTATCAGGAATTCTCATTGTTTTTATTTTCCAGTTTTATATTTATTGATTTTTTTAAAATTTTTATTTATTTTTATTTGTATATCTTAGTTAATGAATCCTGATGTTACCATCAATGTTGATGAGAGGCAGCCACACAATGTTTATTTAATTTATAAGCCATGAAATACTTGCACCTGGGGCTGAAACATAGCGTGAGCCACTTCACGACCCGTCAACAGTGCAAGCTGGGGTAACTAAGCATGGCCGGCCAAGAACAGTTCGAACCCTCGGAAATCGCTGCGCCAAACCGCAAAATCACATTTGCTCTCATCTTTTGTGTGCATTGCATTCCTATTAAGAAAAGCATAGAAAGATTTTTTTTTTGCCATTCTATTGTATTTTATAGATTTAATTTGAATTTGACACACTGTACCTTAAGCCAGGTACTCACTGCATCGTACGACAGTCGTGTGACCCTCGCATGACAAATCCAACCCCCGTTTGATGATTGTAGGTGGTCGTCTGAACGGATCGTCATTAAAAACAATCCGTTGCGCACGCGTCATTGCGTTGCGTTCTTATAGAATCTAGAGTGCCCAGAGTTATACACAGCAAAATAAACATTTTGAAAATAAAAAGTAGATATTGATAATTGATATTAAAGAGCCCTCAAATATTAGATTGTTTACAATATTCAATTTGTTGATTGATGTTTTGTTTTGCAGCAACTGCATCTTACAGACTGTTACCGGATATCTCTCTCAATTGTGATGTCACTGGGGAGTTAGCAGAACGATTGGTGCAATGTTTCTCCAGAGGAGTAATGGAGTTGAAGGAAATAGATGGTAAGTGTTTGGATATGATTTACAATGGTGGAAATATACTGAGTATGGCACAGTCTTGAGTAAAAGCACACACAGTTGTTTTTATTGTTGTTTTTTTTAAATACCTTTCAATATTATTTTGGTTTGTATTTCAGGTGTGAAGCATGCAGTTGTTGTGAATCCACGTAGCGACACTTGCAGCAGAGAAGTGTTCAGACATGAGGTTTGTCTTTTGCACTACTTGTCTCCTATCTCATGCATTATTGAAAATTAATTACCAAGTCCATTAAGATTTTAACTAATTATTTTGTTGCATCACTGGTATTGGGTTACCCCAGATTATTATCAGCTCTGAATTCAGTGTTTTTACTTTATAATCTTGTAACCATGCAAATTAAGTATGTACCAATTGTGAAGTTCCATTCACACTGGTTTGCTCTTTACTTCACTTGCTCTCATTATATTTTTCTATCATTGTGAATATATATGAATATATAAAATATATAAATACAATGTATTTCACTCTATAAGTACCCATTGATATGCATACATCATTTATTGCACTGTGTGTTTCTAGGAATCCCTTTAATGCGATTGGAACATTTTTGGTTTTAGGATCTAAAGGACCTTGTTAAGCTGACAAGAATACGTGATCATTATATATGTAAGTAATACATCACAATGTTCGCATATTTTCAGCAATATATAATTGTATTAATTAACAAATGTTGCCATCTTACTTTATTTCTTCTTTGAATTACACATAGCTCCCCTCTCACATTCCCCCACATACTATACTTGGAGCATAGAGCTACATACTAATCATAACAAATATACAGTATCAGGTTATTGTTTGTCAGACATAAAGCTCTCTCCTTTTGTCTTGGACAAAAAACTGTTGTATGCCCATATATAGTCATGTTTTGTCTAAATATGGTTATGGTGTGATGTCATGACTAGATTTAGGCATGTCACATATTTTTTGTCTTTATTGACCTTTTTGCTAAGCTCCACCCCTTGGATATTGTTGCTAAGATCCCACAAAATTACAGTGTAAAAGCATTCGCAAACATTTGCGTTTGAGGGACAACATGTGTGCTTGTTAGACATCGCATATTCCTGGCCCTGTTTTGGTTGGTCAGTTGTTAAATTTGATTGTCACTCCGTAGAGTTCATTGTGTGCCCTTCCATGTCTGTTGGAGGTCAGTCAGTGCTCTACTTCATCAGATAAATTCTAATAAATTCTGTGTGATGTATGTTATGTCTGACAAACATAATATTAATATTATGTGGCCAGCTTCAACCTCATTGATAAATTATTATTTAATCTATTGAGAATCACATTGTTTATTTCCCCATTTTGTAATAAGCCAATTTGAAGTTAAAACTGCTACGCATTCCCGTATCAAAGTCAGTCAACATAAACAGCATACACACAACATAGGTTTATGTCAGCTGACCTTGATATGAGCATGTGCGGCTCCACCTACGAATAGACGGATTCGGCGATGTTTGTTTGCAATCGGTTACGTGACTTGACTTAAATGACGTATACATGAAAAATATTACAGTGCGATAGTATAGGAAAAGATAATGTTGTTGCGAAAACAACCACTGTTAAGGTGAGAAATAAATGGCTAGGAAAGGCAATATGATTGTTCAAAATATTGTTTATTTGTTGGATTGTATGCTTTGAAATTTAAGTGATCCTTCATAAACCTTAGCTGGCCCTAACATCGCAGCGTAGTTCGCGGGTCGAAGACCATCATGCACACCTAACCATGCCGTAGATGTGCAGGAGACTAGGCCTAACATTTGTCGAAAAATCTCCATGTTTGTGGACAGTATCCTTTACAGCATAAGCAAATAATTAAGGCAAAAATGCTCAAGTTTAATTTCCAATCAATTTGGTATTGTTTACTTGGAATTATTATGATCTTTACTGCAAAAAAAGGGACGGCCGCTATAGCAATCTCCATGTAAAAATTGCTGTGCCATTTGATTGTTTATATCCAACACCCAAGTTAGGTCATGTGACGCCCATTACCGAATCTGTCTATTGGCATATTCTTGACATAAATTTGAGGATGAGAAAGGAATCAATGTACTCATTTTGTATGTTTATCTTTACAGTTTCAGTTGAAACAACCGGAGCCTTACCTCCCAATGTATTGGTATCAGAAGCAGTGAAAGTTTTGATGTCTAAATGCAAGCAATTCTTGTCTGAACTTGATAACGTTGATTCATAAAGCTAATTAATGACAATTTAAGGTGAATTCAATTGCATTACATGAATGAAGATTATGCATAACACCAGGCAATATAGTAAATAATTATTATTGTCTTTGTTTAATGATGCCATAAACTCATCAAACCAGACACACTATCACTGGCAGAATACTATTTGCG